AATCCGAAGTCGGCGGCGGCGGCGGTCTGACCAAAGCCGCCTTGGTACCTCCAGCTCTAGCACCTCCACGCTAGATGTATCAAACAGAGACATACACCTACGCGACCGCCATAACCACACACACCGTGACCACCACACACACTTAGAACACACACACAACCACCACGAGAACACACACCACCTTAAGGAACACCATGAGCTGCGCCTCGACCACCTCCAGAACCGCAACGGAAGCTACAAGCTAAACAACACCGACGACTATTACCAAGGACAGTCACAGCTCCTCCCTGCCGGCGAGATGGTTGACCGTAGCTCCCGGATCCCACCCAGGAAGATTAAGGTAAGGAATCACAAAAAAAAGAAGGCAAGTAGGGAGAGGCAGGCAGGGACATGCAAGAGAGAGAGAGGGCGGAGAGAAAAAAAAAAAAGAGGCATCACAGGTAGGAAGGGATCAAGTGGGACGAATAGACTATAAAATGATTATTTAAAATATGTTGTATCAGTCACAGTATACAGTATATACACCGAGAGGTGTTTATTTCGGTGTATGTACACCATACACTGAGATGAATGACCTCTCAAGTAGGTTCCTTGACGCAGGTAACGGGCTCTTGATTCAAGGAATTGGACCTGACCTCGTCTTTCTTGGATCAAACCTGATTGCCTCCCATTCGTCTAGGCGTTGTATTACCCCTACGTTTTTAGGTCTCCCCCATGAATGTAATAACTAAATGAATGAAGGAAAGGTACCTAGGTGTGAGTAGACTTGTGGGTGTCATCCTGGAGTGGTAAACCTAAGAGAGGTCTACGACTTGAAATCAGTTGAGGTAGGATAGCAGCAGCAGTCCTGTGTACGATCGAGATTAATTTTACAGGCTCAAGTTTTAAACTAGTAGCAACTCCATGTATACACCATGTTAATTTTACAGGCTCAAGCGACTAGCAGCAGCTCCATGTACACACGATGTTGATTTTACAAGCTAAAGTGACTAGTAGCAGCTCCATGTACACGATGTTAATTTTACAGGCTAAAGTGACTAGTAGCAACTCCATGTACACAAGACTGACTGATTCATGCACACACCAAGGCGTGGTGGAGGCCATCAGGTCATGTGAAATAAACTATTCCGTTATACAGGGAGTGAAACTGTTAAAAGTCCACGAGAGGATCTCGGCGATTTATTTAATTTAATGAAGTGAGTTAGCATAGTTAACGGGGATCCTATTATTAAACACATTTTATTATATAACCCTGGCCTAAACTGGTTTTACATTGTCATCGACGCCATGCCCAGCCCTTCTAGGGTAGGGTAGGTGCCTGAGCCAGAGCTTGCAGCTCACAAGCCTGCCATTCCCATTAGCCCCCTTGGGGCGGGGATGGCAGACCAGAGAGACCTAGCTTCTCCCTATGATCCCCGTGAGGGCGGGGAATGTGACTAGGGCTGGGGACAGTTGGTCCCAAAGATGAGGGGGTACTTGTGCCTCCTCCCATGGGAGACTTAGGTCTCAGACACTCCCTAGACAGGGAGTCAAGGCCGGGCCAGCACTTGGAAAAAGCCCGGGCCGGGAGAATACCGGCGAATCTTTAATAATAATAATTTTTCATCGTTTCGTGAGTAAATTAAATAAGTATTGTATCCTCCCCTTAGCGCCAAACGTTGATAATACATACACTTGAATTGGCAAAATAACAGTTTAGCATAATTAAAATAAAAATTACCTAAATAGTCACAAAATTAAATTATGCATGATATCAAATAAAGGGACAAATTAGTCACCTATATTCAGAACTAACAAAAAAGTCTGTGTATATAATACACCTCTATATCTTTAGAAATTCTCAAAATATTACCATAGTATAGTACTGTGTGCATGATATATACTGTACATGTTAGGTAGATCAGTTAAATAGCACAAACCAGCTATCAAAATCAGCATGATTGCTTATTGCGTTACTTGAATGAACTCTGGTTACAGGATCTGCATGTGTACATGGATCATTATTCGTTTGAGATAATTACAGCTGCGAAACTTTGTGTACTTCATCTGAGCTCCCCTGTGTCTTTTTTTAACATTTTCCTTTTGGTTAGGGTCGAGGTCCTGCTCCAACCAGCACCTCCCTTTCTCATTGCCTTCTTCTAAGCACCCTATCATAAGCTCCAACGTACCCGAAGGTTCAGGGACAGTTATTGGTTGTCCTGAGGATAACAGCTGGTATGGAAGTGAAGCTCTCAGGCATCGAGTGATCCCTCTATGTGCCTGAGGGTAGCATGGTTATTCCAGCCCGACAGTCTCCCATATTTGTATATTAGACTCAATATTCGGTTTATGGCATTTGTTGAAAAGAAATTTCGTCCACCAGTGACTTTATCGAACCTTGATAAAGTCCCTGGTGGACGAAACGTCTTCCTAATAAATATCATAAGTCCCAAATTGTGTCTTATTCGCATGTCGGTATATTTTACCACTGATATATAAACTCACATGTTGGCCTTGGTAGGTATCCGAAACATTCTGATTCCTGCCCCCATGGAATGAATCCTTGGCAGTGGCGCTTAATGGGTGAGATCAAAGTTACCCAGAGCACCCGCTGTAAAGAACCCATTTAAAGTTGTAGGACGCACCGCACCTTGCTTCTTGGTATGCTGACAAACGGCAGTTGTCAGTTGATTCCCAGTCTGCGAGATTCCATCATTGCTTACACTGAGACCCAAACTGAAGAGTTCTCTAAGTAACTTCCTGACCTGATGTATGTACGGACATCCAGGCCAGTACATATTGGCAGCGGTGGTTCTTGGTTCACTGAGTGTCAAATTCTGGCTTTAGCTGATTGCCTCATCTTTCAGTTGAACAGGATAGTCTGGAAGAGAGAGAGGCACTTCTGGGATCCACTGAACCCTGATCCGTTAGTTCTACACCATACAAGAGCATAGACACGAGTGACTTCAAGATAGTGGACTCAGACTCTTCTTGGAAACCAGGAGCAAATGATCCATTGAAGTGAAAGATTCTTACTCTGAAAAAACTATCTTTTCGCATTATCCTTGTAGATTTATCATAGACCAGAGCATCGCCCTCATAGTCACACTTCAGTGTTTACTTCAGTATTTGCTGCAGTGCTTGGTCAAAAAAAAATCTATTACTTTGCTCTTATGCTTAAGGAAAGTGCTCCAAAACCCTTTCCTTGAAGAGAGTCTTGCTGATTTCTTTGCCAACACTCGGATACTTCAGCCGTTTTTAATACAGCTTGCGCAACTCATTTTTTTTAATTAGAAGGTGCCATCGAGTTTCCACGTGGCTGATAAGTTCAACATCTACATCAAGAGTTCTATACTCATGGAAGTTCTCATCCTTCCTGCAAAAGATACAGATATTCTTTGAAGATTGACGTTGTTGACGTCGTTTCTCGGTGCTATAAGCAGCTGCGTCATCTTCTGTATTTCTTTCTGCTCTTCCTACTTTGCCCATCTTGAATTTTCCGTGACAAGATTTTTCACCAGGTACCAGATCAACCAGGCTGTGATGGATATGTGTGACTTCAGGCCAGGCAACAGCCTGGTTGGCCTGGCTAGCACCAGACGAGCCTGGCCCATGGCCGGAAAAATGATGCTTTTGGCTAAACAAGTGTGGAAGTTTCTTAAGAGAAAACTGGATCACAACTTCAGCTAAGTGCCAGATCAACTAGGCTGTAATGACTGTATGGGCCAGGGAGTCGCTAACAACAGCAGTGGTTGAACAAGCAATTAACAAGGAAGCCTGACCAAATGCCAGACTACGGGGGCAAAAAAACCCTCGAAACCTGACATAGGTATCGTCAATTTAAGTTAACTTGCCACTCTGTGTCTGAGCTTGTTAACGTAAGGATGACTGTGATTATCACCAGTTGATTAGAATGCTTTCACGCTACACTGATTAGTATGACTTCACCGATTTCGTTAAATTAAATTCCATTCGCCTCCTAATAGTTCGTGCTCCTTAGTTCTGGAACTAGTCTCGTTGCTTAGGTCTGCACTTTCTCTCGTTTCTTAACATGTGGGTTCCATGCCAGTGCTGCATGCTGTAAAATGGGCCTGACATATGTTGTATGTCAGGCCTATCTTTGAACTAGAACGACTTTGTTGAGATTCCTGAAGGCTACTCTTAGATTTGCCAGACTAGCTATGGCTGCATCATTTATTCAGTAGATGTGAGCCTCTGCCGATATACTAGGTACCGTACTCACTATTAGGTCTTTCTTTTTGAATAAGGTCTGCAGTCTCTGTCCCGTGAGTCTTCTTGGTCTTTCCCCAGTCTTCGTAACCTTGCATATGTTGTTGAATTCAAGAAACCGCTTATCTGACCATTCCTGCAATTTGTCCAAATACAATTTCAACCTTCTCTTGTCCTTAATTGTTCTTAATCTCATTAGTTTTACATGATCAACAAACAGAGATACATCTGACTCAATCCCATCCGGTATGTCTTCCGCATAAACCAAGAAGGGTCCTGATCCTATTACTGATCTTTACGGAACCTCGCTTGTTTCTCTTTCCTATTCTGACATTTCTTTCGGTAAGGTACTCTTTGATCCACCAGATACGTATCTTGCTATTCTTTTGTGTATATGTCTGATTTGTATGTGGTTGCAGGGATCGAGTGTCAGTTCCTGTGTGTACTCACCTGCTTGTGGTTGCAGGGATCGAGTCACAGCTCCTGACCCCGCCTCTTCGCTGGTCGCTATTTTGTCCACGCTCTCCCTGCTCCATTAGCTTTATAGTATCTCTTCCTAAAGCTATGTATGGATCCTGCCTCCACTACATCACTCTCCAAATTGTTCCACTTCCTGACACCTCTATGACTCAAGAAATACTTTCTAACATTCCTGTGACTCATCTGAGTTTTCAACTTCCAGTTGTGATCCATTGATGCTGTGTCCCATCTCTGAAACATCCTGTCCTTATCCAACTTGTTAATTCTTCTCAGTATTTTATGACGTTATCATCCCCCCACCCCTCCTGTCCTGTGTCGTCAGGTTGATTTCCCTGAACCTCCCCTCGTACGACATACCCTTTAGTTTTGGGACTAGTCTTGTTGCAAATCTTTGCACTTTCTCTAAATTCTTAACGTGCTTGACCCGGTGGCCCGGTGGCCTGGTGGCCACCGTTTCCCAGCATATTTTTGTTTTTGTTTCAGGTGCGGGTTCCATACTGGTGCTACATACTCCAAGATGGGCCAAACATAAACCAGAAACAGTACTGGTCCTAATACTGATCCTTGTAGATCCCCGATAGCTACTCTTTCCCCATTCTGACGTCTCTTCCCTTACAGTCACTCTTTGTTTCTTTTCCCTAAGATACTTTT